TTCTAAATGTTATTCAAAACTTCCAGCGAACATTATAACATAATCTAAATAACAGAAACATTATGAACCTTGCAAGTCTGATAATACACCATCCATTAATCTCTGGAATATTGAAGGGGCATTGCATAAGCCGAAGGGCATTCTATTAAACTGATATTTACCTGAAGATAATACAAAAGCAGTTTTAGCTTTATCTTCCTCTTCTGTCTCTACCTGCCAATATCCACTTTGTAAGGCCATAGATGAAAAGTATTTACTCTTACCTAACCTATCTAAGATTTCTTGAAGATTAGGTAATGGGTAAATGTCTTTAACTGTCACTCTGTTCACTTTCCAAACTAATACAACTGGAGATGCATAGGGACTACTACTGTCCTCTATTACTCCTTGTTCAAACATCTTTTTCACACATTCTTTTAATTCAACCTCTATAGGGTCTCTGTGCTATAGGCTTATCATTCAACACTATCTTGTTAGTGTCATTTTCTCCTACAAATATATCTCAATGCTCTTCTAACAACATTATCAAACCATGTTTGTATTTTATATTTCCTAAGATAGAATCCAACTCTATCCTACTTTGTCGTGCCTGCTTCATAGCGTTATTAACATTATGCTGCCTGACTGTAGCTAATTGTTCTCTACTACTAACCTTACCTACTACTATGTTCTTAGGTAGTATTACTTTTTCTTCATTCACCTTTAGTACTTTTGTAGTCACTGTGTTATTCTCAGACACTTTACTAATACAAACAATTATATAAACTCGTGTTTCTTCTATCTCAATAGGTTCAACTAACACTTTTTCATTACACATAAAGTAATTTACTTTAGCTTCAACAATAAATTTACTTTTTTGCAGGTACTTACTTCAACTAATCTTACAGGTACTCTTTCTGGGATGCTCTGTTGCTTATGTTAGGAATAAGTGTAGAGTCATCTGAGGGGTTTGAATTACTATTTGTCTGTTTTAAAATCTTATTTGCTAACTTACTTTGCCTTATCTTACTATCACTCACCATATTCTTATGACTACCATCATTACTTCTGCTGGGTTTAGAGTTTTTCTGTGTACTCTTATTCTCTGGCTTTCCTTCAGGACACGTCTTATTCTTACTTCTTCAACTTTGTTATGTATTGCTACACTCTAGGAGATCAGTGCTTTTGTGTTTTGACTGTTGATCTTTAGCCTTGCTAGTACTAGCATTAGACGTCTGACTATTAACTTTAGCCAGCAGGAAGGTATCATGTGTCTCAACTGTTGCACATAAGTGTGAAGGTTCAAGTCCTTCAAAACTTAATATCTCTGTTTCTTTGCATAGCTTACCCAAAGTAAGAGATATTTCAGTGTCATAAGTTCTTAAAAAATCTTGCCCTATGGTACCATCTGTTTTTAAATCTATCTGCTTACAGATGTAAAAGGGATGTTCTAACTCTTACTTTCCTACTTTTATATGTACACTATATTTACCTAGTGTTTTAACAGGATGACCTGTTATAGAAGTTAAAATACTTCTAGAAACTTCTTTCTAAGCATTATCTAACAATGTCGGATTTTAATCTACTAGTTCTGCACTTATTAACGAAGATAGAGCATCTGTATCAACCAATAACCAACATATTATATCTTCTATTTCTACTACAACTATTGGTGATACTTCATTAACATTATGGAGACTCAATCTTTTATCCCAAATTGCTGGAACTACCTCTACTTTTGCTTTGTAATCCCAGGGAGGATACATTTTTTGAATTCTTAGTGATTGTAGGATTGCTATTTCTCTTAGTGAACTTACTCTTATGAGTTCCTGCCTTCCATTGGCATCAGCAATCTCGTGCCATGTGGCCTGTAGTACCACAATTAAAACACGCTACCTGTTCATTTCTTTTCTGTTTCTGAAAACAGTTTTTTGCCATATGACCAATTTTACCACAGTTAAAACACTGGAAGCCATTGGACTTACTTTGCTTATTCTGCCACTCTGTCTTACTAGATGTATTATTAATTACTACATTTACAGCAAAGTTTTTTGGTCTGTATATCTGCTTTTCTCGCATCTCTTCTCGAGTAGCTACTTCAATTAGATTTAGCAAAGTTGCTTGAGTGCTATTTGCTTTATTTACCTGACATCTAGCTATATTGCTTAGCAAACCTCAGACTTTAAAGTGTCTTGTATCATGAGATAATTTGGGTGCACATAGGCTTTGCAAAACTTATTACCTAACTTCTGTAACTTATGTCCAAATACTCGGACAGATGCATCTCGTAACTGAGATAAAGTATGGAGCTCTGATAAAATTGCACCAAGTGTTTCTCATTTTTGATATTCTTCTTCTAACCTACGAACTAGGGACTGAAACTTATGGTTTCACGTAGGTTGTTATAAGCCCTAATATAGCATTTTACTTCTCCTGCCATTCTTAACCTTAAAATATCTGCTTTCTGTGCATTGGTCCTGCCCAATATTCTGGCTGCTTCACTTATAGCTTCAATAAAGCTTTCAACATCTTTGTTAACCTTATCATGATATAATGTTATGGCACTCGTTAAATGCGTAGCACCGTGGGGACCTACTTGTGCGGGTTGCTCTCTTGCAGCATCATGATTAGTGTCAGCCCTTCTATCAACTCTAGGACATGCACCACCCTCTTCTGTAGTCGTGTCTACACCAGCAGTAGCCATATTCACTTACTACTTATTTTTAACTTACACTACTTATAGTATTTCAGTTGACTTTCTTACTTTTCTGCCTTTCTTTACTTCCTTAGCTACTCCAAAAAATTCTCGAGACTGCGCCAGTTGTAATGGACAGCACCCTTAGGGCAAGTCGTTGGAGTTTCAACTATACTGCCAATTACACCAAATTTATTTAATTGAGGATTGCCGTGGTGAGTAGAGCTCACAAGCCACTAACTCAAGGAATTTACAGTTAGACTAAAGAGAATGACCCTGACACAGATATGTGAACAATATATAAGATTTTATTCACACTTTTAGTATTTTTAAAACATATAAACATACATTTAATTCTTACTTATAACAGCCTTTTCTGCTTAACTCACAGTAACTCACTTTAGTTTTAATTCACATAAAACAAAATACTTCATTATTCTTATACTGACTATACTGATAGTTCTTATTTCAATTTCAAGTGACATTAATTAAAAAAGAGAAATATAGTTATTACTTTCAACTGGGCTGTTCTACTCTGTCAGCAGAGGTTCGATAATTTCATTTTCATGTCTGAGACTATCTTCAGTTCTAAGAGAACCGCAGTTCTTTTTGAAGATTTCTTCCTGGAGAGAACTGATTTTTAGCTCCAGAAATGAGTTCATATTCTCTGTATTCCTTCAATTTTCCAAATAGTTTTCCTGACTACCCACAAGTAGTCCTTACACTTTATTGGATGATTTCTGCAACTCAACGGGTGATTCCAAAACAAGAACCAAAACTCTCAAGTAATTGGTTATGTGGTGGTGAGTGCTCTGGTTGCCTTTTCACATATACTACTACACCAGGCTGAAGTAACAAATCTTACATAAAGATGCCGACTTTAGATGTTATCATAAACTTGTTAGTAGTCTTTACAGTTCTACCACTCGGCATCATTAATTCTTCACTGTCAATACTCATGACTAGTGTATTTCTCAGTGTCCTCGTTGTTGCTTAATTTTTTATGACTTAACTCGTGATTCTCAATGCCAACTAACCAGCTAACTGTACTCCGCCTAGTTCTTGACCTTGTTTCATCATACAGGTGTCCTTACTTATGGCCTTTTTTCATGCATATGTATTACATTCAGAATGCTAAATTTTTCTAACTTTTATCTTAACTTTGCAAACATTAGAAATGTTTTAAATCTTAACAAAACTGCTGAAGTAATTGTAAACATTTTCTCAAAAATATTCAATTACTTCACAGGTAAACTGATTTTCCTACAAATATCAGACAGATAGATCTGCTAATAACTGGAGATTTGTTCACGAAATTAATAGAATGATTCTGAGTTGAATAATATAGCTGAGTCTTTGTAGTGTGTGTGTGTATAAAATAATGAAACTGGATGAAATTGATAAAAATGAATACAATCTGCAACATATGTACATAACACATGAAAAGACAGTTGCTCTTACTAGGCTGTGCTTAGTCTCACAGTTTTCTTTCAATCAAGATTGATCTCTGTAGAACTGAACCAAGAAAATGTACTTGAAATGAAGAAGTAAACCTGGTGTCTTTGTTCAGTTGACAGCATCACCTCATAATCTTTGTTCTCTGGCTGTTGCACTTAGTATCAACCCAACCAGCAAAGGACATTATAGTGCAATTTATTCAACCCAGATGCTATATGTTATTATAGTATCCTCTCAGTTAGAATAGTCATTATCTACCATCTAAATGACTTTCTGAACCATGTGTTCATGATAAAACTGCATACAAACTAAATAAATTGAAAATTTTAAAAAATTTCTATATTACTAAAGTAGGTTGAAAATGCCTGCATGTCACAAAGCTAATTCTGTCTGTGTTACCAAATTCCACTGCTTTTAGATGTAAGCATCAGTGGCTTTTTTCCCCCTTTTTTTTGAAGTGAATACTTGGAGCAATGGGACATTTTCATGTTGTATTACATAAACACTTGGTAATCTGAAACAGTAGGTCTTGTTATTTCTGCATTTTAGAAACACAATGCTGTTATTGTTTTGCAGTTTATTAAGACTTTTTGTGTATGTAACTCAAAAATTTGAATTAATGCAACCTTTGAGAAGTTAAAATAATGTAATTTCTTGGTCTTATTTTGATGTAAAAAACTTAAGAACTGTGAAAAATAATTATGATGTTAATTTTCATATTTATTCATAGTGTGAAATATAATTATCATAGTAAATAATGCCTGAATATATTTTTACTTGTCTCAAGAATACTAAAGTTTACCCATTAGTGAGTAGAGTTATTGTGATGATTGAATTTAAATATTAATGGCAGTTTGTTTTTATACAGGCTCAAGAAGATGTGTCAAAAAATCTAATGTTAATGAAAAACATGTTGTATGGAACCAATGATCAGGAACCTCAGACAGACATAGTCCTGACACAGCTTGCACATGAATTGTATAATTCTAACCTTCTGTTGTCATTTATTCAAAATTTATCAAAGATAGATTTTGAGGTTAGTGTTTTGATTAGTATTTTTTCAATTATGTATGATTTACATAGTTCTCTCTTCACGTCACGTCCATAAAGACACATTTTTATTTTTTCAGTGGTTACAGCCTTTTTTATCTTTTGTAGAAAAAAAATGAAAAGTAAGTGAGGAAGGGTAAATCCTGAATGATCATTGTGATAATTACATGTTGAGACACCAACATGCTCATTAAAATGAACCTTTACTAAACTAAGAAATGCTACTAAGAGACAAAAGTAGCTATTTTATTAGGTAAGTGAAAGACAAATTACTTTAAGAATGGGTTTTAAATTCAATTGGAAACCAAAATATACATGAAATGAAAATATTTCTTGGAATATTAAGATTTATGTTCAAATTAAGTAACAGTAAGTCAAAAACAAATTGACACTAACTAAATATAATTAACAAACAACAGAAAAATGACAAACCTTGTTTTTGGTAGTGAGTAATACATGTTGCATTTATTCTGAAATAGTTTAATTTTTGAAATTTAAAACTGTTATGAAGTGGGAACTTTTTATTTGTAATTATCAGATAAACCTCTTTTTACAGACATAAAATGTGGTTAGCTGGTATTTTTTGTATGGAATTGAGATTGTGTTTGCTAAGTTAATTTAGGACTTGAATTTGTTTCAAGATGTCCAAACAAGATAGTTGTCACCAAAGTATTGAAATTTTTGTTTAGAATTTGTGGATTATCAAGAAACTTCCAAGCTTTAAACGTTACATCTTCTGCTGATTATAAATTAAAATTCCTTCATGAATTGATTCAGTATATGTAACTGAAATTCTACATATTAAATTATTATTTTTGTTTTGTTTTTTAGGGGAAAAAAGATGTTGCACAGATATTCAATAACATTCTGAGGAGACAGATTGGTACAAGGTCACCAACAGTAGAGTATATATGCACTAAATCAGAAATACTTTTCACTTTAATTAAAGGGTAAGTACATGTATAAGCACACAATGATGGTAAAAACATAAAGTAGTTTGTCACTAATCCAAAAACCTATCATAACTTATGGATTTACAGTATTTAATTATTCTTTGAATAAAATACTTGAAATACCATTATCTTGAAAATGAATACATCTGGGTGTTTTGATACTTTTCTCAGTGCCTAGATCTGTTTAGTTATTTAACCGTTATGTTAATTGTGGACAAGGGCAGTGCCAGGCTCTTCCTGGTAACGGCTCAGAGGTACACTTGACAAAACATTAAGGAAGCTCTATGTCTTGTGTGCACTGCTTTTTGAGTCATTTATAATACTTTGAACAAAAAAAATGCCATTACATATAACATTACTTAGATTTCTAGATTAATATTAATTTCTGATCAGAAAGAAACTAAATTTCAATCTAATATTGTTAAGGAATAAAGCTAATTAAACATATTTTTCTTACATTCTTATTTATTAAGATTAAAATGCATATTTTAATAATTTGGGTACCCTCACTGTTAGTCATATCTTAGGCCATAATCTCAATAGTATTTCACAAAATTTAGCCAGTTTAAGAGATTTAGGTTAGTTTTAAATAAATACTAAGATAACACTGCAAAACAATGATTATTATAGTGAAAGTATAAAAATATAAAGTAATGAAACTGGATATGTTAAATATTCCAACCAGTATTATTAATGAAAGTAATTACAAAGAGATATTGGAGTATATCTTTCCTATGGAGCACAAAAATGTTAGCAATCAGCCCTCCACAGTGCAAATGTCTATTTCAACAAACACCTACACTTGTAGAGATTACTTTTCACTCTCATCTCACCATGGCTTCTCTTCTTCAACCTCCAGCCAAAGTCTGTTAGATACGTGAGTACTTGATAGAGATAGATAGTCATGAACTTGTGTGAGTCAGATCTTGTGCAGTAGCTGCGTGTTGTGGGAATTCTGTCTCAACTCCAGTCAATGACACAGCAACACATTGATAAACTCTAACAAGTTGCCCTTCTTATGAAAATAGCTTTTTATTAACTTTTCTCACTTAGTATTGGCATTATTTCGTTTATTATTTTTTCTAGCTCAATGATTAATTACTAATTTATTGAATTTTTAAGGTAATGATCAACTCATTAATAAGTAAAGTCTTCTGTAAAAGGCAAAATTAAATATAAGTCTTGAAACGGTTCAGTAGTAATAATAAGACTTAAAAGGAAAGCTACAACATCTTAAATATGGTGAAGAAAGTAATTAACTAAAATTATTTAACTTTGCCAGTAACATAATGTCGTAGTATACACCAAACTGTTATATAGCTAGTATTAACTATTCATGATAAGAACTTAAATTAAAGGGAGGTAAAAACCAGTGGTGGTCAATTTACTAAATTCATTATTACCAAAAATAATTTCCAAAAGAATTAAAGAATATTGTAAAAAATTTTGTTAAATTTCCTGTAGAATTAGATAAATTTTGTACATAAAGTGCAATAGGAGAAACCATGTTTTTGAAAAGTGAGAGTGAGTTTGAGCTCTATCCAAGAAGTCTTGTAATGTTGAACAAATTCTATTGTATCCAATAAGCTGTGAGTAGTAAACATTGTCACATAGCTTATTGTTGTAGCTTCAAAGACTTACATTTTTCTTTACATTCTGTGGAATTACTGATGATAATGAATGGATTAATGTTGGGTTTTTTTTATCTTTGATAATATTACAGTATTTCTTAAAATGTTCTTTAATTATTATATTAGACCATTACCTATCAGAATTGACAAATTCTTAGCCCCAGCAATAAAACTGTATTTGTATGGTGTTTTATGTGATATGGGAATCCACACTGTAAGATTTAACAAAATGTACACTAATTAATAGTTGTAAAATCTACATTGGTTATGATATTGGGGTTAAAGGTGAGCATATGGTGGATGGGAGAATAAATATAAGGAATTATATTTGCACTTATAGGATAAAATGTTGTATATATCCTCAGTGTTTATGTTACCTAACACTACTGTATATATATACAGATTCTACCACCTATGGCCCTCTTCAAGAATAGCTGATAGTTTTGTGTTTGGTTTTGATAGGTAATAATTGTTGTCTAGAAGTCTTTTTGACTAATATTCAAATTTAATTAGTTCTATATTTGCATCAATGAATGGAACTATAAGGTAAACCCTATCTTTGCATTCATTAGATGTAGTTGTTTCAGGTTTAAGTGATGACAAACAAGAAATAGTAGCTAGTGTACATTGCTTCTTTAAAATTAATGTCACCTGTATTTATGTTTAAGTACCAAATAAACTTTTGAGATATTTTGTTTGATAAACTGAAAGTAGGTCTGACAGTAAACTATCCTATGCTTTAGCCCTTCTTGTTTTGTGTGTGTGTGCCCATGACTATGTGTCTGATGTGTAAGCAATTGAAAAAAAAAAATATTATTTATAAATTGATAGCCTTGGGAAACATTACTTTCATTTTTAATTTGGTTATTAAAAAATATAGATTATTTTTCCATGAATGAATTTTGGAAATGGACAAAAATTTATAGAATCCTGACCAATTACTGGGAATATTTCTAGTTAGGTAGCTTGCTTTGATCAGAAATAATTGGTAGTTTTCCATTTACTTCCAGGAATAAAGTACAATGTAATTACTTTTTAAAATAAGTGGATCTGTGTTATTAGTTCCACTATATACTCTTTTATCAAGCCCTGACTCACTATGTTTTTACCTAATTTGTAAATCCTAATACTGCCTAGCTTTGTCCATATTTGTTATCACTTTCAGCTAGGCAATTGTACATGTAGTTTGTTTGACTGGTTTGTTTCACCAGTGACATGAACTTGTTGTTTCCAAAAGATCCATTTGCACACTGTTCATTTTCTTATCTACATAACAGAAAGTTTTTTAAATTTACTTTTCCCAGAATTAGACACAATCCAAACCTCATCATTTTTTTAGAATAGCAGGTTCATACTTGTCTTTCACCTTTTGTCTGTGTCAGAGATTCATTCTGTTTTTGAGGCCTCTGATATTCTCATTTGTCTGTGTCTGAGGTTCTTTTTTTTTGCCTGTGTCCAAGGTTTTTCTTTTGTCTGTGTCCGAGGCTTTTTCTTTTATCTGTTTCCGAGGCTTTTTTTGTCTGTGTCCGAGGCTTTTTCTTTTGTCTGTGTCCGAGGTTCTTTTCTTTTGTCTGTGTCCGAGGTTCTTTCTCTTTTGTCTGTGTCCGAGGTTCTTTCTCTTTTGTCTGTGTCCGAGGGTCTTTCTCTTTTGTCTGTGTCCGAGGTTATTTTCTTTTGTCTATGTCTCTTTTGGGTGTTTCTAAGATTGTCTTTTCAATGTCTCTGATCATAGTTCAGATTAAACATTCATCCTTTGCCATTTGTGATAATTTTTTGTTTTGCTAAAAGGAAATTATTTTTTAATTTGCTGTTGAGGAATAATGGAAAAGTATTGATGAAATATAGTGGAGATTTAATATTAATGAATCAAGTTCACACATACAGCTGTATCATAATTACTGTATGCAACCATAGGCTACATCACCATTAACACCACACAAGACAACAATAATAGAGTCTGTGTGTACATGAATCTGCTATTGTGTATTAAATAATATGGTGCTTAAAATGGCTCAAACAAAATTTTGAGGTATAATAAGTTGGACTCAAGACTGTACGGTTTTACCTGTCACAACTTCATTTGTCATGTTTTGGCTGTACCACTATTTAAGTAGTAATTTTTAAATGTAATGTAGATATATTAATGATTACTTATGAAACATGGCTATTCTTTATTTTGCAAAGAGTTTCAAAATGGACACTGTCCACAGCAGTTGTGCTTATACACAAAGCATACAATAATTCCATTTTATGCTTTCTTATACTGTCTGTACCTGTGGAATTCTCTCACATAGTACATTATCCTTGCTTCCATCTTTAACGAGGAATTTTAATGTACCTATGCTACAGTGATCACTAATTGTATTTTAGGTTTTGAATTTAAGAAATGTTCATTTTGTGATATACGTTTTGGTGAGAATTTGGATTTAGAAAATATAATAGGTCTTATATTAATATTTTATGACAATTTAATTATAATTGTTCTTTGCAAGCTTAGAAAAGGCACTCAAAGAATAACAGTAATAATTATTAAATAGTTAAAATTATGTTATATTGTCAGAAAGTTAAACGGAGATATGTCTTTAAGGTAAAGTTTTAAAATTTTCTTATTTATTTCGACTATTTTAGAAAAGCAGTTATATCGTTTTTCTTTTGCTGTTTTTTAAAACAGGTATGAGAAACAGGATATAGCTCTGAACTGTGGAACAATGTTACGAGAGTGTGCCAGATACGAAGCTCTGACTAAGATTGTAATCTATTCAGATGAGTTTTACAGTTTCTTCAAGTTTGTAGAAGTTTCAACTTTTGACATTGCTTCAGATGCATTCTCCACTTTTAAGGTCAGTTCTGATATTTTTTCACTATGTTTGTTGAAAACTGCATGAGAAATTAATTTATACTAAAGAAGAAAAATGTTCTTTCCAACTGTTATTTTTTCTTACTTCCTATGGAAAATAAATTAAACAATGACAATAAAAACTTTTAAATTTTATAAAGACAAGTAGGGATTGATATATATGTAACCTAGCTAGCTATTGTAATATAGAAAGTTTCAATGCTACAAAAAGTATTGAAACAAGAAAGTCAAAACTACAAAAACTGAGTTACTTAAAATTTAAACAGATTTTATCCCTTCTTTGGCAAATCACTAATTATGTTAGTCTGAGCTCAAAAAGGGCTAAAATATTTTAAATTTGAAGTATCCCAGGTTTTGTACATATATATACATATAAGTTACATATATATTGATCCCTGCTTGTCTTTATAAAATTACAAAATTTTTTATTAAACTTTTTTGTTTCCTTTTTATTAGCTATATTTTTGTGTCCCGGGAATACCAAGCATGGGAAGCACATATATCTGATTTGATTTTATTACTCATCAGGATATTTACCAACCTACCCTTAAATCTAATTATATGCCCAAAGTAGTGCATCGTCCATTTTATATATATATATACAAGTATCCTTTTCGGTACAAGAAAGGAATCATTGGGACCCCAGAGGGAAGAGTTCTGTGAAAGAATTAGAGTGATAAGGTTTGTTATTTTTTCTGTAGACTTGTCTGGAAAAATAATTTACTTAGATGAAAATTTGTTGAAATCGTGAAATTTTGATTAATTCCATAAACACATATATAGTGAGTTAGGTAGCTTTATAAGTACAATAAGCTTTAGTTTTGTTCAGCCAACACTTTGAAATAGTCATTTTTAATATTCAGATATTTTCAAGGTGGTTTTAAATGGGTGATTTTTATGGCTGCCATTTTGTTTCATCAGGATCCCTACCATTAAGTACTACCGTACTTAATGCTAATCAACTTCTGCTACAGATTTTGATTCAATATTAATAAGTTTACAGTTGATTTGTATATAGAGAACATGTGCTGAGTTTTAGTATTTATTTCATTTTAGACAGATTTTTTTGTGTACTTACTTTTTTTGCATGCCCATTTGTCTTATCAGTTCCTTCTACATGCTTAATATAAGGATTGATAACTTAGAAATAACCGTGTTTAAGTTTTAAGGTTGCAGTGATTGTTCTTACTTGTCACAGTCATATGTTCCAATGATAGATATTTTTCTGAAGGTTTGTATGATTTAATTGTTGGAACTAAGAAACTGTTTTAAAATAATGGCATTATGTTATGTTGTCTAAAAGTCAAGTTCTCTCAGTTCTTGCTTAAAAATTAACTTAAAAATTAACTTTCCAACAGATTGTTCAGTTTTACAATAGTTTATATGAACTTGCCTGATTGGATAACTTCATGTATGTTATGAAATAAAACAGGGTTATCTTGATACTTCTGAAGCATTGCTTTCAAAAGAAAAAACCTTTGATTCATCACTAAATTTTTCAGGAATTACTTACAAGACATAAGGGTCTGTGTGCTGAATTTCTGGAAAACAATTATGATAGAGTGTTCAGTCATTACCAGAACTTACTGAACTCAGAAAATTATGTAACTCGAAGACAGTCCTTAAAGGTGAAGTTATGAAAATGTTGTTTTGTACCTTTGTCTCTAATTTTGTTTCAATGATAAAATTAGTTTACCACTTATTGCTTGTTTTCCTCTTAAAAACACTCATGTCTTAATAATGAATAGTTTTACTTCTTACTGATTAGGCTGGGTTTGCCATTTGTGACCCATGTAAAAGTATAGAAACAAATTATGGTATTAAAAAAAGTAAATGTTTTTCACTCTACATAGTTCTTGTTTTTTTTTCTTGCAGTAATGTCTAATGCTGTATACTGGCCAACATTTCACAATACCTTCTGTCTCTTTCTTACTAATTTCTTACTGTTTGTAATATGTAGGCTTAAAACTGTAACCATTTTAGATTTTCTGTGATCTTGAATCTGTAAGATTTTCAGCAGTTTTAAATTTGTATTAAGCCACTTACTCAAAGTAACTCTTATTCTCACAGTATTGACATGTAGTTTACTGAGAGTTAATACAGTATTGATGCATACTGCTGTAAAGAAATATTTTCATTCAAATACTGATATCAAAGGCTTTTAACCTTTTCTGTTTTATAGCTTTCAAATGTAAATGCTGCGAATATGCAATTTTTAGTTGGTGTTTATTCAGGACATTCTAAAAACTTTTTCATAGCATTCACTGTAGTAGCCAAAGCTTATCAATTGGCTTAAAATTAATGATAAAAGATTACGTTAAATGCAGATATTTTTTGTTACATTTATCTTAATTTTCCATTGCAGATTTATATTTATAATAGCATTTTAGAAAATATTTTGTCTCATTGTCCAGCCCAACTAGTGAATTTTGGTATTGATTGAAAGGCCTCTTAGTGACTTGTGGGAGACAAAAGATAGATCTGAAATGCTATTTTTTACATGCCTCTGATTTGGATCCACAAAGAAGAAATGGATTTGAACAGATGTATTGTTTTGTTTGAAATTGTTCAACAGTTTTTGTATTTCTTCTTTGAATTTGTTTAGTACTTTCTTAGGAAGAAAGAAAAGATTGGTGTCATGTTAGAGAAAGATTATTGATTGAGAATAAAATAATACAGGTGGGAGAAATGGACTACTAAAAAAATATTCTCAAACACCTGATTATTAACTAAACATTTATGTATATACGTGAATGATATGAAGTTAATGCATATTTCCATACATGTATTTATTTACAGTTGCTTGGGGAGCTTCTGCTTGATCGTCATAACTTTTCTGTAATGACCCGATATATAAGTAACCCAGAGAACTTAAAGCTTATGATGAATATGCTGAAAGAAAAAAGCAGAAATATTCAGTTTGAGGCTTTTCATGTCTTTAAGGTAAAAGGTGAAATTCTATGTTTCTCGGTTATATGCACTGTATTCTTTATGAATAGTGAATGTGATACAGAGCACCCCAGTTTCTAATGTAAAGCTGACATTTCAACATCCAATCTTTATGGTTTGTTAAATATTCCATTTAAGACAACACTGTTAAGTTAGCCAGTGCAATGGGAAACTACACAGAACAAAATAAGTTTGATCAATTTCGTCATGAAACTTTTATTAATTCTGCTTGATGCTATATGCACAGTTTCTTTCTAAGTAACTTGATGTTATGTTACCACCACATTAAAAGACATGTTTATAGACTCATAACATACTGTGTTTTTCCCTTTTCTAAATCTTAATGTTGTTTTTGTAAAAACATTTGCTGAAAATCTGTTGTTCTGTCATTGTAAATTACTATCCAAAAAGGTATGATTGTAAGCTAGGCTTAACCTTACTTTGATATTGAAAAATATGTTTCATAATAAAATGTGTATTTTATTCATGGTATTGCTGAGGAAAAGTGCATTTTCTGAGAAACAGTGAAGCTTATTACTTTGTGTTCTGTTACTTTTATTCTTTTTAGTACAATTCTATGGTGTCTATTTTGTTACAGCTTCTACCTCGTTTACCTTTTACCTGTTTTTTTATGGGTAATAATGTATATTGTACTTGTGGCTACAAATATATAGTGATATACTTTTATGCAATCATTGAAATTCTCTTGTGTATGTGTTTAGTAGTGAGAAATAAACCCAACTTGAAGTATTAAGCATAAAAATAAAGTGATGTGACTTTTCAGTTCTTTTATTACAAGTAACAAGTCAGAGGAAAACTTTTTAAATCAACAGTTTCTGGCATAATATTTATAGTTTTTTCTCAGTTCTAACAATCTTTGGGATGAATGACAAATCAACCAGTTGTATCACTGTTGTAGACAAGTACTGATTATTAAACTTGCATTTGGTTGTTTTTGTTTGTTTGTAAGTGTACTTACTGTTATATACAAGTTTATCACATTTATGAGTAACAATAGATGAAACATTAAAAATTAAACTTTTATCAAAAATGTTAATTGTTTAAAGAGCTCCAACCACATGAAGGTTTAGAATATAAGATTACTAACTTTAATCCTAACATCAGATATGTATTTTATTTTATTCTAGGTATTTGTTGCCAATCCCAACAAACCAAAAGCAATTCTTGATATACTTCTTCGAAACAAAGAAAAGCTTGTTGACTTCCTTACGAGGTTCCACACTGATCGTTCAGATGATGAACAGTTCAACGATGAAAAGGCCTACCTAATAAAACAGATTAGAGAGTTAAAACCTCATGACGAACACTAGCAGATAGAACTTCTGATATCACATGTCATCCTCTCATTCCAAAAAAAGCTATAATTTTTGCTAACATTTTTGAGTGGCTGTCAGAAAATGTGTGTTAGTAAATATCCTGAGTTTCTATATACAGAAGCTTGCACACTTGGTAATGACAGAAAAAGGAAAATGAATTTTACATACCATAAGTATATTTAATTTTGAAAAATTATGGCATAATTTTTCTGTAAATAATTTTTTTGCTACAAATCAAGAGGTAAATGCATTTGTCTGTGGAATCCATTGCATGTAAATAGACAGGCAGGAACACATTGTGGAAGATGAATACTTTAATTTTACCTAGAATATACTAAAGATATTTTTTGAAAGAGGTATGACTTCCTGTTGTTGCTACATATATAAATTAATTGCACTGACCAAGTATGATGTGATAGCCATAGCTGTGTTACACCAAAAGTTACTTGTGTTATGTTTTTGATGTTTAGTATGGGTTAAAGATTTGACAAATGCATTTCAGTACATGTATTATTTTTGATAATTAAAATACAGTAACCAGGCATTAATTTTATCACATATTTATTTCCATTGGTTAATTGATATATATATAGATCTTAGTAATTTTTTAAATCAATTACTCTGGTTATAGACCTGTAGTTTAGAAAATTCTTGAGGTTTTAATAAAATAGTAGTATGTACTAGGTAATTGTATTTTTCTATTCAAGAACATTGGTACAGCTGGAATTATAGAATTAAAACCTTACAGGTTTGTAGTGTTTTTGGCCAAGTGCTATTTAATTGTTTTATGCTAACTAATGGTAAATTAGGCAGTTTGTGGTGTTTTATTTTTCATCTCATGGTTAGCTAGGTTTATAAAGTTAGCCATGTAGTGAAGTGATTAAAGTTGTAGGAAATCATTTTTTTCTTAAGTTTTATATATTGTTTTATGAAAGACTAAAATTTATAGATTTCATCCACTTTTTATATTAAGTTGATGAGGTATGATTAACTAAATAAAAAATAAATCATGCATAAATAAGCATTTTTATTAAAATCTGTGGCAGCTGTATTAAAAGTAAAAATATTTACCACAGTTGTTAACTGTAAAAAAATTTAATTTTATTGATTTGGATAAAATATATGCCCTTAGCTGTGGCAATTCATTTCATAAGATCGTACATTTTAATTGACCATTTATTTCATTAATAACAATGGTACTGTACAAAAAAGTTAGTTTCAGAAATTACACTGACTTTTATAGATTCCAAATATGTATATATTCTATAGAAATTAATAAAAATTGATAGTTATTCTCATTTAGTAGTTTAAATAGTGTCCTTATTTTAACATGTGTTCTGTACCTGTTATTCAAGATCACTTGTTTGACATAATGTTCAAAAATTTAAATAGAATGTACATTATTTTGTGTTTGATTTATTACAAACAATTGTAGAAACTGGGTATCCCTCTCACTGTGTGAAATAAACAAAGGGTAATAATAATTGCAGTGATGACAGTTCCAATGAAAAAAAAGCAAAGTTTTAGCATTTTATTTAGTTGGTTTTGTAGGCCTATTTTGCTAATATAGTGTTATACACTCAACTGTAAATTTCATACATGCCTTCTATAGACAGTGTTTTAAATAAGACCTTAGTTATAGAGATTTGGCAAGTCTGATTATCTTGGGTGTTGACCAGAAAGTCTCAGTGAAATTCTGGAATATTAATGCTGTTTACTGGAAATCAGGGGTACTGAAAACTGTCATTATTATTGTGATTTATCACATTTTTGCACCCAAAAGTTTTTACATTTCAGTCCTTTATATGTTACATACTATATAATTTGATGTATAATCTTAATAATGCATTCATATGAATCCTGTGACTTCTAGTAAGTAGAGAAGTTTGAGAGACAAAACCTTCTAATTTTAGTTATATTTTGTGTCTGTTTCGCATAACTGTCCTCTGGTGTCATCCCGAAGAATAAGGTGTGTTGAGTTGAATGAAGTTATAATGAATTTAAAACATTCATTTTTTAATCTAATTTACTAATTATTACATTTTTCAATGTTTATAATATTGTCTGAGTTTTTTTTTTCTCTCAACGGATCAGCTCAAACTTTCATGGTGTAATAACAACTGAGACCCCCCCCCCCCACCTCCGAAAAATCCAGCCTGAATACTGTGGTTTGCATTGTATTTACTTTCGTTAAAGTAGTATCGGAATTTCGTTGAATTTAATTATATCAACAGCTTCTGAAAATGAAGCTTGTGTTAGAGTTGCGAAAGAATGTTGAAGCAACTCGGCTTCCCAAATATATTTATTATCTGGTTTTCATCACTTGTAGTAAAGTTTGTTTTTAAAGGTAAATTCCGATAGATGGCGCTGAGAACTTAAATAAAACTAACATTTGGTAAATTGTTTTTTTAACGCCAAGCTACACGATGGGATATTTGCACTTTGTCTACCGCGAGAAATCGAACCCCTGATTTTTGCATTGTAAGTCTAAACTTACCGCTGATCCACCGGTCATAAGAACATTGTGTTTATTTTCATTAGTGTAGTATACTGTACTAATAATTATTCAGAGAAGGGTAGGTTTAGTTTGCAATACTTTTTGTTTATAATGAAAAATTACGCGTACAGCAAAATAAGCCACATTATTGGAAGGCTGGACTACGTGCTTTGGTGATTTATATATTATATAATTTCAGTTGCTTCAATATTGAATAAAAATTGTCATGAAATAAAAATTCAAAGCCACAGTAAAATTGGCCTGTCAGAATCCTAACACGTGAAACAAATGTTTTAATGTCTTTATCTTCAATATCTCTGCGTTTATGAAACTTTCACTTGCACTGCTCATCCAGGGATTAAAAAATTGTGTTGTTCAGCAGTATGCATGTCTTTTTCGTTAAATCAGCACAACAAAAGTAATAAAACTTTTGGCAGCGGTTCACTTGTATATTATGTTATTGTATTGTTTGTTAAAAATCAGTTTGGGATCATCATATTGTAATGTACCGTATTTTTCGGAATATAAGGGGTGTATAAGACGCACCCTTATTTTGAAACAAAGTTGTTTTTTGGGGGGGGGGATCTACAGTCGCATTTGGAAGATTTTTAATGAACAAAAATTCAATTTGATACTTTAGAAATTAGTATATATTGTTCTAAATACAAAAAAGCTCAAAACAT